ACAACAACCTTATCATCTGTAGCATATAACCATGGGGGAAAAAGGTACATATATGTAAGAGACCTTCCTTTGCAGCAGTGAAAAAATAGAAAGCCTGACAGGATGGATGGTACTAGGCAATCTGAACTCGTTGTATGGCCACCAAAGTATCAGAAGTTTGGATTGTTGTTACATGGGAAGATGCACTGAACCAACAACTGGTGATTCGTGGTAAATTTGGGTACTTTGGCAATTACCCAATGACTTAAAAAAGCCCATTGGTTTCATAGTCAACCATCAGCTGGTCTGAATTTGGATGACAGGAAAAATGCAAGTGCTAATTGGATCTAGAAGTGCAGCAATGCTGCAGTTGAAAATTAGAAAACTTCGCAATCTGCATAAAGCTACCTACAGGTTAAAAAAAAGGGGGACTGGATGTATGCGCTCAGATGGGCAGCCAGTAATAATATTGATTGGAGTGTGATTGGTTATTAGAAATCAGAAATAAATTACAAGGGTGAGGGGGCTTGGATGCTGAGCAGAGCAGGGAGGGAGAAACCTACAGAAGCCCGTGTGGATCATGAAGAGCTCCATGGCGGCGCCAATGGAGGCCCCGACCGCCGCGATATTCAGGTACCAGCCCGCGAACCTCATATGCATGGACCCTCTGAATTCGTCCCTCGGTCAGGGAGAGTTTCCTGCTAGCAACTGCAAACTGCGACCGACGCACAACGCGGTACGAATCAAAGGCCAATCCCATGGATGGAATGGATGACTCTCGCACCGAGAACTAGTGTGCTTGTGGGGGGTAAGGTAGCGTCGAAGGGGCGTTGGTACTTACGGGTCAGAACTCGGAAAAGTGGTGGCCGGAGTTGGGGACGGGGACGACGGAGACCAAAGCGGCGGCGGCGGGTTTCTGGTGGAGAAGAGTGGGAGTGGGGGCAGTGGCAGTGGTGTTGGGCTCATTGAACTAATTCCACATTGGCCCATGACGGCCTAGTAGGGAAGCCCACCACAACATGTACATACTTGTCTTCCACTCAAAAAAAAAATGTACATACTTGTCGATATGTTTATTTGTTTTTTTTTCGATCAACGACTCTTTGAATATTTTGAATAAAATTCTCAAAAATAAAATTGGCACGGTAGATTTTGTCCATAAATTTTTTAAATACTATAATTTTTACTGTGCTGAAAATGGTACGGTTAAAATCCTTAATACATTTTTTGCGATCAATTCTCAGTATGCTTATATACTACTGGTGGACAGGCATGTCCGTGCCGCACGTGTCTATAACAAAAAAAAAATCTCTTTTATAGTACAGAATTAAAAAAAATTGAGACTCATTTAAAATCAGAAAGTCTAATGGCTCTTAGTCTCTTATAACTTGTTTATCTCTATTGAAATGTCTAGTAAATGATCTTGTCATGGTTTTCTTCACGGCTAATAAGCCATCAAAAGTATAATGGTCTGCATGTAAACAGTGGATGTATTCAAGCTAATGATCACCAAAGGCTGATCATGATATTGTGGGAAAAAATATATTCATAAATAAAGTTTGACGAACCATCTTTTTTAATGGCACATGTGGTACCGCACATACCTAATATTAGAACTGGTAGCTTTGGCTCTTACTTGGCTTTTTACTTTATTTGAACTTTAGCTCTACCAAACCCACCACTACCAGGATGGTCAGGCTGTGCAAGACCGAATGAGCCAAGTTGAGCTCGTGCAGGCGGTCGTGTTTGGTTGTCATTGTTGTTGGTCCAGTACGAGACGAGGTCGTGTTTGGTTGCATGCATACACCAAAGTTTTGGTATTTGACACATGGGCCCCTACATCATGCGTGAATCAAACCGTCCTGCATCAAGAAGGAAGTGGAAATTGAGAAGACGAAGGCGTGCGGGATGGAGGAAGACAGATGAATGAGAGAAAGCAGGCGAAAGGTGCGAGTAGGGGATGGAACCAAACATGGTGTAAGTGCACCGAGCGATATCGGATGGCCCTTGGGACGGCGTGAGCGGGGCAACCAATCACGCACTAAGGAACTTTGGGTAAATCATCATGTTTCAATGGAGTCAAAGATTGCTCAACACAAAAATTAAGAACAAAGGTATTTGCTGACATGCACACCAAATCACATTTATGTTCTCCTTGAGAATCATGGCTTTGCTGCGCACATGTCAATAGGCCATCCGTAGAGCAGGACAGGTAATTTTTGTGATTTGTGCTTTGCAATAGTTAGTAGTTCATTACTGTATTATTGATGCTTTGAATAAGATTTGGCACTTATGTATGGTCGGCGGGGTGGATTGGGTCAAATCCATTGCTCTCAAATATGACCGTGCAAGTTTTCGAAACAGCAAAGCAGTATTGTATGGTTTAAGTTACCTTATATCAATATGAGAATCAAAGATTTGGTATTGTAAAGGCAAAGATTCAAGTTACGAGATAAGCAATACTCCTATATGCAGCCAAATATATAGCTTATATCCTAGTTTTGATGCAAAGCAAAATATAGTTTTTTGATTGTGCAAGAGCTTCTACGATCAAAGTTGGTGGTTGAGCAGTATGCTACCTTGTTCCTCTTCCTTAGCTGACATCATAACAGATTAACAATGAGGAAATACAGACAACAAAAGATGTATCCTAGGTGTCCCGTCCTTGATTAGCTTTTGGGAACCGACTCAGGTAGCTGTTGGAGAGGTCTGCAAATATACACAGGAAATGAGGAACTGCTTGCATTGAGATTATTACATATAGAGTACTCTTTACCTGCAGAATAAACTGCTGCAATGTCTCTGTAACTCATGCCATCCTTAATAGGGGGAAGCTAAATGATACAGTGTAGAACCCTGCTGTTCTGACATCTTCTTGAAGGCTTACTTTCAGCAAACTTGCCTGCTCTGCCCCCTCGGGGCCAGCCTGCAATGCGTGAGAGAAATAGATGCATTAGAGGCAACACCTGCATTTGCTCCATTATTAATTATAAGACCAAAAGAGCCAATAATTTGTAATACAAGTCGTATTTCGTCAAACACATGACATGCAAATTCGTAGGTAGGCCATCAGGCCAAGCACGGGAGGACAAAAACTAAATTGAAACCACTTCGCTATGATGTGATCACTTCACCTGCTCGAGTGGGAGGAGATCGCCCGGTCTCTTCTTTACTTAATCCCAGCAGGGAATATGCCATCTTTTACAAGACGTTGTACGGGCGTACGGAGCATGTAGGGAGGCGGAGGCGGAGGCGGTGGAGATAGGGTCGGAAAAAGCCAACGCGCATAGCGCCTCGCCTCCGGCGTTGTCGCCCTGCATGCTTCGACGCCTTTCTCGCAGGCACCATCTTTTCCTCCTGAAGAGAACAATCACGAGCACGAGGCTTCTATACCTCCTCGTCCTCCTGATCGTCGTCGACGTGTGTTCGGCGTCGCGGCAGTTCTCCACGGTCGCCATCTCCCACGCGCCCAACGCCACGCTCGTCACCAGCGCGCGCCGCCGATGACACGGGGGCGAGGTCACCTGCCGAGCCCGAAGGAGAAGCGGCCCGCGACCGAGGCGGCGTCGGGTCACCATTCACCACCAACAAGCCGGGGATCGGGGATGGTAACGGATCGGGAGAGAGGTGCGGCGCCGATCGGGAGTGTCGGAGGGATAACTGACGCTGTTGCCAGCGCCGGCGCCAGCGCGTGATACCGTTGTCGCGGGGGCCTGGGTCGGGGCGGCGGCGCGGATTGGGATAGAGTGACGACTGTTCGGCCGGGACGGAACGGTTGGAGGGAGGGGCAGCGCAAGGAAGGAAAAGGCTACGGGGATGCGGGTACCGCGGGCGGGTAAGGATTGTCGATGGTGAAAAACACACACGAAGGAACAGTTGTCCCAACGTGAAACACGCATGTGTTTCGTACATTACAGTCCTCCTTCTCTCGTGGGTCCACGTGTCAATCTAAGGTGGATAGAAAATTTTCATGGTAACGATAGATTTTTAATTCTTTCGCTCCTTTATAATATACTCCCTAAACAAAGTCGTTTTGGAAATTGACCTGGTCTTAAAAAAATAACTTTGACCACTACTTTTTGCTATAAAATATTTATAAAATATAGTCAATATATACTTTTATAAAACTACTTTTTGCGATGAATCTACTTACATCACTTTTATATTTTCAAACTCAACTCTGAAGAATTTATTTGTAGTCAAAGTTCAAAATGTTTAACTTAAAACAACATCAAAACGACTATCTTTAGGAACATGCAGGGAGTAGATAGATATATAGATGTAGATATGTAGTGATCACTAGAGGGAGTATACACTTCTTTATTGGAGTGTAATTGAAAATAAGATAGCAAGGCGCACTGTGACTGAAAAATGTTTGAAATGATCGTTGAAGGCGAGTAGCAATCTCGAAAGATCTACAGCATGTTCGTTTGGCTGTGGCTTGTTATAAACGATCGTAAATTTTCAGTCGGAACAGTATTTTTCTCTCACAATGATATGAACCAGCCAACCGAACAGGCCGCTATTGGGCAGAATTGCTCCAAAAACCACACATATCATTTGATTTGATTCATCTGAAAACCTTCTCCTCATGGGGCCATTGGAATCCACTTGCATGGCCATGGTTCACACAAAATATATATCCAAAATTGTCAGCTTGCTGACGTATCTACATTTTAAGCAGTCAGTATCAGCATCGCCAAGATCACTTGCCCAAATGGATATGATGCTTTCAGTTTCAGATACCAATTGGTGGACAGCAAACCACCTTTAGTAATTCTGCACGATTGCAGTTTGCGCTTTGCAGGGAAGAAAAAAGAGAGCCGTTTTTCTTAATCCACCGATTTAAATCCTAGTTGAAATATATATATGAATTATATATATATAGTGCTTTCTACAAGAATTTCTCCTTTTCTGTTTTATGTGAAATTCTTGCATTTGTGGCCATATGTCCTGTCTGTCTTCACTCTGAACCATTTGGTTGAATAGAAGGCGAGATATTCTTCCTCTCGCTCGCGCGCATGGTGACCTCGCCGCCGGTGACGGTGAGGGCGGTCGCCTGCGCTCTCACCCTGACCCCGTCATCACGGCTGAGCCGCGCCTGCCTCGCACAGCGCCGCCGCCGTCGGCGGCCCCCTCGATGTAGCAGGAAGCAAGCCGTGGTCGAGGAGGAAACAGCTTCTACGCGGAAGGCCAAGAACGGGGAAGGGGACGAGGGGCGCGGGGCGCAGGGCGCAGGGCTGGTTTGCTCTGGATACGATCGGGCTGGACATTCTCAGCGTCGCTCTGCCCGCCGCCGACCCCATCGCGGCGCTCGTCGACACCGCCTTCGTCGGTCACTTAGGTGAAGCAAAGCTCTCCCCTTTTCCTCAATCTCTGCCTTTCTAGGGTCAGTTTGTGGACTGCTGAATGCTGATACAAGTCTCATACTGTACTTCAGATGGAAACATTTCATTCATCTTTCCAGTTTTTCCTAGTCAATGAACATTCACAGAATGTTTAAATACCCACAATTTTACTGTCATCAGGTTCGGCCGAACTTGCTGCTGTTGGTGTATCAATTTCAGTGTTCAGTTTGGTGTCAAAGCTGTTTAATGTGCCCTTGCTTAACGTGACCACATCCTTCGTTGCTGAGCAGCAGGCAACGGATGATGGTTTCAGTGGGACAAGAGAAGGTAAGCTGCTGAAGAATTCGAACATTTGTTAGAAATGACCCCACTATTTGTGTTACACTAATCCATTATTTAGTTCTACTTAGGATATGGCTTCCAAGGTCTCCTGAGGAGTTGACCCCGAATAGGAAGTTTCTTCCCGCAGTATCAACATCGTTGGCTTTAGCTGCTGGAATTGGGCTGATGGAAACTGTGGCACTGATTTTTGGATCGGGGACACTAATGGACATGATCGGCATTCCTATTGTAAGTAAGAAGTTTCATTTCTTTCCATTCTCAGAAACTTTAGTATCAATGACTTAGCACCCAGTTGGTTATCCGCTTAGCCGGTACTTTTTTTTATCTTCATGATGGAATGTATCAACTATCAAGTTAATATGGTATTGCATCAGTTACACTACCCAAAAGTTGTCATACTCTAGCTATGTTTCTTTAAAATAGAAGTATCTTGGACCTGTCATATAGACATATGCCTTGTGTCAACTGCCAATAGTTGAATTGAGGACCATGAATAACTGTGATACTAACATATTTTAGTTTTGACATTTGAGTCCAAGTTTTTTATTATCTGTTATTCTTACAGTACCTGTACTCAAACTGTCAAACCTGATTTGTTGTATATTATCTATGCAGGATTCCCCAATGCGAATACCAGCTGAACAATTTCTTACATTTAGGGCATATGGTGCTCCACCGATCGTGGTAGCACTTGCTGCACAGGGTGCATTTCGTGGGCTCATGGATACGAAAACACCTTTATATGCTGTGGGTAAGATTATAGGAAACTCTTTTGGCTGAAATGAACAAACTAGAGCATGTGAACTTTTGCAATTATGTATTTCTTATGAGCAAGTTTCAGGATGAAATGTCTTGTGCATTTAGTTGACACTTCAGTGATCTATACACATGGTCATCTTGAAATTTAACAATAATAGACCTGTCAATGTTATGAATTTTAGATTTAAAGTATGAGCAATGGTGGCTTGGTCGCTAGCAGCGGTTTGTGGCGCCCTAGACTTGCTTGGCAATGCTAGTGCGGTGCAGGACAGCGTCGGTTGACGGCGCTTAGCACCAATGGCGACATGTCCGCAAGCTACAAGACCAATCTGCGGTGTCTTCATGGTGATGGCATTGGCGACGACCAATCTTGGAGTTTGATGGAAGGTATGGTGGTGGCGGCGTCCCGTCTTTGACGGGCACATGGTGTGGTTGGCGCACACTTCAGGAGGCGATTTGTTGGGGTTGGTGACTTCAAGTTGGCTGCGGTTATCTTTGACCGGTGTCACGGCGGTCTGCCACGCATGCTAGTGGCCCGCCATTGTGACAACGACAACTTGTAGAAGGCAACGACAACTTGTAGAAGGCAACTCTCGTTGGACAAGTACTCGGGCATGGTGCTTTGGCTTCCTATGTGTGGCTTTCACGGACCTGTCTTCGCTCATGCAAAGAACATGGTGTGGTGACCCGAGATGTTTTGGTGCTTGGCGAAATGGCAATGTATAAGTAAAGGTGGCGCCACATTGACGTATCATGCTTGCGAGTGACTCGTTCGGTGTGGCAGCAACAACTCGTTTGGTGGTGGCTCACTTCGGTTAGTTCCATGCTTTGGGCTTGTGGTTTGGGAAGGGGCGGTGGGAGAAGTCCTTGCTCGGCTATGCCGATGCTAACAATGGCGGCGCCTTTAATGGGCGTGTGGACCTCACTTGGAGGCATTGTCATGTGCCCTCATCCCATTCTCGCCTCTACCTTGGGGTTCTTATTCGGTTGAAGAACCTGTGCCGGTATTCCGGTTGGCTTTGACGGCGTCTGCAGATGTCGTTTCCTCCATGGAGGCATCGCTTAGTGAACCCCTTGGTTGTTGCTGCTGCAATAGGCAGGATGGCGTTTTGAGGGCAGCTTTGATTGTGGTGGTTTGCCATGCCATTGCTATTGTCGTGTGCTGGTTTTCTAGGGTGGAGGTGTAGAGGTGTTGTACAGTGTTTGTTGTTATTTTTTTGGTATCTACTTTATTAATACATAGATCGGCAGTTTAACCTGACGGCTTCTCTTAAAAAAAAGATTTTGGAAGTGATAGCTACTACAAATGCAAGTTGTGAGAACTTTGCCTAATGATTGTTTTATTTATGATGCTTTATGTTCCTGCAATATTTTTTAACTCCGCCTACGTTGTCTCAACATAGCAGGTCCCAAGCTCTGGTAAAGGAGGAGGGCTGTGATAGGCGTGGCGAGCCAACGTTAAATCTAGCCATTCTAATGGAGATGAAACCCGAAAGAGTACCACAGAAGCTAAAAGGCAAGTTTTATAGGACGACGATTAGACCTGCTATGTTGTATGGTGCAGAATGTTGGCCTACGAAAAGACGACATGTTCAACAGATAAGTGTCGTGGAAATACGTATGTTGCGTTGGATTTGCGGTCATACAAGAAGGGATCGAGTTCGGAATGATGATATACGTGATAGATTAGGGGTAGCACCAATTGAAGAAAAGCTTGTCCAACACCAGTTGAAATGGTTTGGACATATCCAACGGAGACCTCCAGAGGCACCGGTGCGTAGTGGAATCCTAAGCCAGGATAATAACGTGAAGAGAGGCAGAGGAAGACCAAAGTTGACTTGGGTATAGGCAATAAAAGGAGACTTGAAAGAATGGAATATACCCAAAGACTTAGCTTTAGATAGGAGTGCTTGGAAAACAGCTATTCACGTGCCTGAACCTTGATTGCTTCTGTTGGGTTTCAACTCTAGCCTACCCCAACTTGTTTGGGACTTAAAGGCTTTGTTGTTGTTGTTGTATGTTCCTGCAAACGACAAAAGTAAAGATTTAAGCACTCTGGATGCAGGCGTTGGCAACCTAGTAAATGTCATACTTGACGCCATACTTGTTTTCCCACTTGGTTTAGGAGTTAGAGGTGCTGCCTTGGCAACAGTGACCTCAGAGTATGTTGAATCCATCTTAAGAATTCAATGTGTTTCCTTTTTTGGATTGTCTTTTCATCTTCATGACTGCACCCATGAGAACTAAATCCTTGCTCCTTGGTACAACTATCTGCTTGTTGTCAGGTACATGATAGCTTGCATCCTTCTCTGGAAGCTGAATAGTAAAGTAGTACTTTTTTCCAGAAATGTAATTGGTGGTGGAATCATACGTTATCTAAAATCAGGTTGGTGGATGCTCCAAATATTTATTAACAAGTACTAATACAGGACAAACTTTTGTTGCTAAAACTTTTTGTTGCAACTCCATTAATCTTTAACGTACTCCAAATTATAGGTTACTAGATCAGAGCAGAACCTCATGATAGCCACTTTAACTGAAAACTATTCTTTAGGTGGACTTCTTATTGGCAGGACTATTGCAGTACTCCTGACCATGACACTGTCGACATCGCTGGCTGCAAGGGAAGGGCCTGTTCCAATGGCTGGCCATTAGTTGTGCTTGCAAGTGTGGCTGACAATTTCTCTTCTCAATGATGCATTAGCTCTTGTTGGGAAGGTCTGTACATTTACAATATGTGACATTTCTTGTCTAGGGTCTTACATTACAAATCTGTATGTGTTCTGTTTTAAAGTTTCCATAATCAATGCAGGCTCTACTTGCAAGTGAATATGCGAAAAGGAATTACAAGCAAGCTCGTTTAGTTTTATACAGAGTTCTGCAGGTTAATAATGCACTTTGAAGTTCAGAAATGCTGCTGCTCCAGTCATGAGCTGCTTGCTGATAAATTTTGTTATAAATGTAGATTGGAGGTGTAACTGGACTTGCACTAGCTGTGGCTCTGTTCTTTGGATTTGGGTCTTTCTCTGTGCTGTTCACAAATGATCCGGCAGTTTTAGACATTGCCAAATCTGGAGTCTGGGTAATGAAGAATAATTGGAATAAAGCACCTGACTTTTAGAAGTAAAGCATGATATTGTTAATGCTCATTTTGACAATATAAACTCTTGCAGTTTGTCACTATTTCTCAGCCAATAAATGCTATTGCGTTCATGATCGGCGGGCTGTACTATGGCGTGTCTGACTTCGCCTATGCTGCATACTCTATGGTATGGATATTGCTTTCTGCTGTATCCCCCATTAGGTTGTCATGACTAAACGTAGCGGGATTCTGGCGCGCTTACAATTTTGGCATCTGTGTTGCTCGGTTCTTTGTTGGGGCTGTTTCATCGGCATTCCTACTTGTCGCTGCTCCTAAGCTTGGTCTTGGTGGTGTTTGGTCTGGTCTAGTTCTTTTTATGAGCTTGAGAGCAGCTGCTGGATTTTGGAGGTACTACCTGAGGTTCCAGCTGCCCCTTTTCTTGAAATATGGATAGCGTAAACCTTGGTGACTTAGTATTTTTGCTGTTGTCTGCAGGTTAGGGAGCAAAGGTGGACCATGGAAGCACATCTGGTCAGATACTGAACTGATAAGTGAAAGAAATGACATGTCTAGGTGATTCGACAGGAAGATGGTAACAAAGATTATTGACAGCTAACGGCATTACATGTAAATAACCAGTAGAAGTTGTGCATGAAGTAGAAGAGTATTAACTGTCTAGGTTCTGATCTTACAATCATACAAATTGTGAACTACTACTAGGTGAAATGCAGATAGTGTGGTGGCGAGGAAGAATGGTTATATTTGGGCAAGCCCACTTTTGCTGTAAAATGTGGAAGAGACTAATTGGTCTGAGGCTCATGGATGTACACTCTGCTTATACTCTAGCTTCACTAAGGTTTAGGCAAAGGGTTTGTTGTAACATAGTCATCATAAAGTAAATGTGAGACCTGGCAATCGTCTCAATTTGTAATGCAGAGTATTTGGAAAAATGGGTATCTTTTTTTTATTGGGCGAAAAACGGGTATGTTTCGAGATTTGATGAAGACTGAACATGATAAGCTCAGTTGAATTTGTGCACGATACTAGCATTTGATTGATATATTTTTATTTTCTTTTTTTGAGGAAATATATTTTTATTTTCTTTTTTGAGAGGACTAGCACTTGATAACTTGTGAAATTGGCCCAGTGGCGGATTAGGAAAGGGCCCACTAGGCTGGAGAGGCCAAAAGCCCATAGATCTCCCAGGGCCCACCGTCCAACGATCCCAAAAGGCTGGCCCGCATCGCGTTCAATCTAACCAATCACACTCCGACCACTGTGACCACTCGCTCGCGCGCCCATGGCGGCGACCTCGCCGACGCCGACGAGGCCTGCAGCCGCCGCGCACGCCCGAGTCCCGTCCGCGGGGCCCAGCCGTGTCTCCTTGACCTCCTGCCGCTGCCACCGCCACCGCTCTACTCCGCCTCGGTGGAGGAGTCTCCCACGATGCAGTCGCGGTGGTGGGAAGCCGGTCATCACAGACGTCGTCGACGAGGCGGCACCAATAAGGGGCCAGAGACTGAGACTGAGAGTAAGGGTGGCGAAGAGAAGGAGGCCGTCGCGGGGCGCGGGGCGCCTGGGTGGCTCTGGCTCAGGCTTGACGGGGTTGCAGCTGACATCCTCGCCATCGCCGCGCCCGCCGTGCTCGCGCTTGCCGCAGACCCCATCACGGCGCTCGTCGACACCGCCTTCGTCGGACATATCGGTAATCCAGTCTCATCCATGCTGAACTGCTTTGTAATCCAGTGCATTTCTTCGTTTCAAACCTAGAATCATGCCATACCAAAACTGGCAAGAGGCCGGTTTCAGTAAAAAATTAAGATTGCCTTGAGGGGGTCAAGGTCAACCTTTTCATCCATTTGATGATTTAGAGTCTCTTGTCAGGTTCGGCTCAGCTTGCGGCTGTTGGTGCGTCGACTTCCATATTCAATTTGGTATCCAAGCTGTTTAATGTGCCGCTACTTAGTGTCACCACATCATTTGTTGCTGAGCAGCAGGCAAAGGATGGCAATTCTAACACCGCAGGGGAAAGTAAGCAAATGAAGATTTCCATTTGTTTTCTGAAAGAAGCTCTGTTGTTCGCATTACACTGACTAGTGTTTAGTTCTCACCTAGGAGATGAATTGTTGACGCCAATAGAGAAGGCAAGGCGACAAAAGAAGGTTCTTCCAGCGGTGTCAACATCCTTGGCTCTAGCTGCTGGCATTGGACTGTTGGAAATGGTAGCTCTGATTGTTGGATCTGGGACCCTGATAAACATCATTGGTATACCTGTCGTACGTAAGGCTAATTTATTCACATGCTCAGATTTCTAGGATCTGTTTCTTCCCTTGACAGCACTGGGTGTTAATATTCTTAGGTGTTTCATGTATGTTTGGTTGGCTGTTGGTCTGAACTATCCGATGCCTATGTGGCTAAGTTCCTAATGAAATCTCTGCAAAAATCATTGTGCCTAAGTCACTATTCCTAATGATATCTCTGAAAGTGCTTTCACCTTATTATATGAATCTAATGGGAAACTTGTCCACAAACATTTTCCAATCATGTCACACATTTGGCACTGCAAAAATATAGCACTTCTAGACTATTTACCTTTTCCCGTTTTGTGGTGGGTGGGCTTCTTGAATTCAGTCTATGAAACCAGGTTTCCATGGTCCGTCAACTCAAAATTTTCTGACTTTAAGGTTCCATACATAATGTTGCGACTGTTATAAATTATACTTAATGACACCTGTGACTAATTCCCTATACTCTTGCAGTTTTCTTTCAAAACACTCTTTGCTGAACATAAGCTTTTTGATTTATTGTCAACACAGGATTCACCTATGCGAGCACCAGCAGAACAGTTTCTTACACTGAGGGCACTTGGTGCTCCACCAATCATAGTGGCACTTGCAGCTCAGGGTGCATTTCGTGGATTCCTGGATACGAGGACACCGTTGTATGCTGTGGGTAAGTCTTTGCCAGTTCATTTTGACAAAATAATGTAACACATAATACTATTTTTTTCTCCATCTGGATTTGTTTTGACCTTGCTATTTAAATGCATATTCTTTTGTTGTAACTATTTTTTATTTCTTATCCAAACTACTCTATGTAACTGATTCAAAATGATCAAGCAAGGAACTGATGGTATGATGCTTACAGGTGCTGGCAACCTATTAAATGCAGTACTTGATGCATTACTTATTTTTCCACTTGGTCTAGGAGTAAGCGGTGCCGCACTGGCCACTGTGACCTCTGAGTATGTTGATGCCATCATGATATTCTTATATATAAAATGAGGTTTACTTATTTGGAGTATCTTTGCCTCTATTACTATTATCGAACTTATAATTATCTAAAGTATTTCTATCTTTTGTCTACATGTATTCAGGTACTTGACAGCATTCATCCTCCTTTGGAAGCTGAATAAAGAAGTAGATCTGTTCTCATGGAATATAATTGAGGATGGAGTCATCCGCTACCTGAAATCTGGTTGATCAATATCCCTCGTGCTCATATGCAAGGATTTTTCATCTGATGGTTTTTGCCTAATCATAACTTCTTTTGATAGTTATCGCATTAAGCACCCAAACTTACATCTTAGTGTAATATATTTTCGGGTAAAAAAAAACATCTTAGTGTAATTGACCTTTATGATAGCCACTTGAATTTGAACGATTTTCAGGTGGTCTACTAATTGGCAGGACAATTGCAGTATTCTTGACACTGACACTATCTACATCCCTGGCTGCAAGGGAAGGGCCCGTTCCAATGGCGGGCTATGAGATATACTTGCAAGTGTGGTTAACAATTTCTCTGCTCAATGATGCTCTAGCCCTTGCTGGCCAGGTCTGCAAAATTACTGGAATGGAACTTTCGTTGAACTCGTTACCTATGTGTATCTGCTTGTGAAGTATCCCTAATTTGCGCAGGCTCTACTTGCTAGCGAATATGCAAAAGGGAACTACAAGCAAGCCCGCACGGTTTTATACAGAGTCCTGCAGGTTAAGAAGTCATTTCTTGGAAATAGTTCGCAAATGCCACCAGTTTATCCTTCTCATTAAGGAGCTGATACTGTTCCTTTTTTCCTTGTAGGTTGGAGGTGTGACTGGCTTTGCCCTTGCTGCTTCCTTGTTTGTGGGGTTTCGATCTTTGTCCTTGCTGTTTACAGATGATCCAGCAGTTTTAGACATTGCGCGCTCTGAAGTCTGGGTAAGAACATGCTTGAGAAATGAGAAGTTTACACTTAATTTCTGAAGAAATGTACAGCGATTTATGTTCATAGTTGTTGGATTTTTGCAGTTTGTCACTATTTCTCAGCCGGTGAATGCTATTGCATTTGTGGCTGATGGGCTCTACTATGGTGTTTGTGACTTTGCCTATGCTGCATATTCCACGGTTGTGATTCATAATCTTACTCTGTCGCATTGTTATGTCAACGATACTATCACACATTATCATGTCATCAGTTATCACTTCAACACAACTTTACCATCCTAATCGTGTTGAACCTTTGTTGTTTCAGTTTTTTGCTGGGGCAGTCTCATCAATATTTCTACTAGTAGCTGCTCCTAAGTTTGGTCTGGGTGGCATATGGGCTGGTCTTACTCTGTTCATGAGTTTGCGTGCAGTTGCTGGATTCTGGAGGTAGTAATTGATGATCCCTTTGTTCTTCTCTGATTTATTTTTTTCATATTTTTTTAAAAACTTGAGGAAAAAGGAATATTCATGTAGAAGCAGCATGGAAGTCTTAAATTTTACAATCGGTTTTTTCTTGTTTTCAGGTTAGGGAGCAAAGGTGGACCTTGGGAGATTATCTGGTCAGATAGTGAGTAAAGCACAGATATATGACTATGTAGGTTCGATTGTTCAATTGATCTCCCACACTCCCACAGCAGGTAAAGGGTAACGGTAGCAAGAAATGTGCATACTGCTGCAGGTCATATATAGCCCTGCGTGAGAGGTAGCTGATGCATCTGTGTGGAAGATGTACCAGTGTCGGATAGCTGGGCTGTCTTGTGGCTGTTGTATTGTAGGAGACTAGGAGCTCACAGCTTTCAACTGTGTTTTGCATACCATATACTGTACAAGAAAGTTGTGTTTAGTTATAACCAAAAAAAGGAACGAAAGCTGTGTTCAAATAGAAAATCCCGTCCTGTAAATTTCGTTTTGGAAATCCTCCGTGTAAATGAAAGCCTTGTCCAATATTCTAGGATCTGTAAATCTGGCAATCATTATTTTTGAGTTGGTTGTTCCAACATGCATTATTTTTGAGTTGGTTATCATTATTTTTGAGTTGATCTGTAAACTGTAAATGAAAGCCTTGTCCAATATTTTTGGTATTATTATGTAACGCAGTGATTATCTGAAATATAATAATCTGAGTTGGTTGTTCCAATATGCATCATCATCGGACATTGCAAATTTGCTACGATTTGGGTGACGCCTCAGCTGCAGACAAAAGGTTTGTTTTTTGAGATGCCTCTTCCTTATATGGCTAGATTTTTTTTGAACTTGCCTGTATGGCCCCAAAATGAAATTATCTTCCTTGACACTTGATGGTGTTAAGTCAAGAATAAAACGACCATTTTACCTCTGGTGAAAAAAATAAAATGCAAAACTTTGTTTGTTGTTGTATATTTGGAGTAATATTACGCAAATAAGTTGACACATATTTGCGTAATATTACATAAGAGTACACACATATTATGTACTGTTATGTGTGAACTTATTTGCGTAATATTACTTCAAATATACAACAAACAAACAAAACTCTGCATTTTATTTTTTTCGCCAGGGGTAAAATGGTCAATTTACCCTTAACACCGTCGAGTGCCAAAAACAGACGGAAGGCCAATGAAGAAAGATAATTTTATTTTGGGGCCGCACAGATAAGTTCAAAAAAAAAATCGGACCATACAAGAAAGGGGCATTTTTTCCAGGGCTATACAGGTAAATATCACTTTTTTTTGAGAATCTGCTGTGGACGAAAGTAATGTGATGGCATGGACAAGTTTTGTCCTACACCACTAGGCCTGGACGAAAAACTCGTAACTCGCTAGCTCGCTCGACTCGCTCGTTAGTGGTTCGGCTCGAGCTCGGCTCGTTTGAATTTTTAATTAATGAGCTAGCTCGATCCAACTCGGTTAATTAACGAGCCAGCTCGTGAGCCACTCACGAGCCAAAACAAGCCAAGGTAATTCACATGACAACAACTGCAATCGCCCCATATACCCTCGGTCCAGCCTAATACAATTTTAAGCTGACCATATATCTCTCTTCCTATGGCCCAACACGATTAAACACTAAAACTCTAGACCAATCCACCCCATGGCCCCACCCAGTCACCCCACCGGCCTACCCCACGGCATCATGTTCACGCGAGATGAGTCCAAAATTCATATGTAATTTGTTTATTCTATTTTAAATATGCATATGATGTGTTTGTTGTTAACCTACGGTTATAATATCTATTTACTGTGTTTTTATGCTTTGGCTCACGAGCCAAACGAGCTAGCTCAAGCTCGCTAACGAGCCGAGCCGATCTATTCTTCCTGGCTCGTTTGTATAATGAGCTATAACGAGCCGAGCTAGCTCGATATCCAGCCACCACGGGCTCTAGGCCAAGAGAGGAGGCTAGACAGGCCATTGGCTAGAGCCCATAGCGAAGTGGAAACTAGCAGGCCCAAAAGCCCATTATTAGCCCAGGCAGAGCAGAGGAGATTCCTTTTCCGTAGCAGGAGGATAGAGAGGGAGAGGAGCAGCAGAGACCAGAGAACAGTGAGCGGAGCAGAGCAGAGGAGGAGCAGAAGGCGGCCAGCCGGAGGCAGAGGCGGAGAGGAGGAAGAGGAAGCGAGCGAGGATGCCGTGCCTGAACGTGTCGACCAACGTGAACCTGGAGGGGGTGGACACCTCCACCATCCTCGCCGAAGCCTCCAAGTCCGTCGCCGACATCATCGGCAAGCCAGAGGCCGTAAGCCTCCGCCTTCCCCTGCCCCCGGACTTCTCTCTTCCCCCCTGGTTCTGGCTCCCCTTCTGTCTCTTGTTGCTTGTGTAGGTAGGCTCTTGTAGATTGTGGGTCTATTTGGTTGGTGGAGATTATGCTTCCGTTTTTTAATTGGCACATGGTAATCTGCTAGGGTTTTGAGCAGTATGCGCATCGCTGCATGACACCTTTCTGCAGGCTATCAATCAATAGATCGTGTTTATTGATGTCAGTTTAAAGAGATTTCGTGTGAATCAGTTAATCTCCCAATATTTCTAGTCTTTGGTAAATACTGCAATGGGGATTTTTACCTCTAAGCTTTTATTTTTGGGGAATATCCTCTAGATGCAGTATGGACGCCACTGTGCTCACACTCACTGAACTCACTCGAACTTTGATAATATTCACATGGCACATCCTACAATCCCTAGAATGGTACTGCAATTTTCCTTCTTATAGTAGCCATGCTTAAATTGAGTTCATATATAACTAAACTGTTGTTTTTGTTTTCATTTTAATAATTTCAGCATTGAGAAATACAACTAGATAACTCAAAGTATGAGACTGCATCCCTAGTGTCTATGTAGAACTAATATACTGACCATCGTGATCACGCAGTACAAGAAATTCCAAACCATTCACCTACCATTTTCACTATCCTGCCAATCTGATTATTGAATGTGGTATATTGACATTGATGAAAGTCTTATGCTCACCGTTTTTCTGGACTAGATTTCTATCAACCAGCAACCCCTAGTGTATAACATTCTTTAGCACTAATATCAAGGGCTGTTAAATATGTAGATCATGGGTTGCATGTACAGCCATCAATTTTACATAGATCAAATTTGAAAGTTCATGTTTATCAGTCACTTTGTGTTAGTGTTACTCAAGCTGCTGCTTTGATATGTAGTTCAGTACCCAAATTTTACATAGATCAAATTTGAAAGTTCATGTTTATCAGTCACTTTGTGTTAGTGTTACTCAAGCTGCTGCTTGATATGTAGTTCAGTACCCAAATTTTTATGCCCCATACTAGAGGCCACAGATTTTCATCTCCTGTTAGTTGTGTAGTAAATTTAGTTTTAGTCAGGCTGCTGCTTTGCTACTATCAAGGATAAAAATGACCTCTCTGAATATTCATATCCTGACCACGCTAATCTCATTCTCATCCTAACACTATTTGGATTCCTGGTTGGGTGACCTGTGGTGCTAGGCTCAAATTACTGAACTTTAGCTTTTATTATTTCTCTGTTCTTGACTTATTTGGATGAAGCCATGTCTCTTGAGTACTATCATCTTGAGGAACTAATTGGAATGGTTGTCCTCCCACATTACATGATGGTTGTTCTCAAGGGTTCTGGCACTTGGCAATCTGTTAGGGTTTTGAGCAGGATGTGCATTGCTGCTGACACCTTTCTGTACGCTGTCAGTCAATCAATCAATTGGTCGTGTTTATTGATATTAGTTTAAAGAGAATTCGTTTGAATCAGTCAATCTCCCCATGTTTCTCTTTGGTAAATACTGCAAATGGGGATTTTTACCTCTAGGCTTTTATTTTGGGGGAATACCCTCTAGGTGCATTATGGACGTCCCGATGTTGATTCTCACTGAACTCACTCGGAGAATCCCTAGGATGGGACTGCAATCTCCTGTATATCATGGACATTCTTAAATTGAGTTCATATATCAGTAAACTGTATTTTTTTTAATATTAATAGTTTCAGCGTTGAGGAAGACAACTAGATAACTCAAAGTATCAGATTGCACATCCAGGGTCTATGTGGGACTGATATACTGACCATTGTGATCACTCAGTACAAGAAATGCCAAACCATTCGTCTACCAATTTAACAGATGTAGTTAAAGCAAACTAACTGATGAAAGTCTATGCTCACAATTTTTCTAGACCAGATTTCTATCAACCAGCAACCCCTGGTGTATACCTTTCTTCAGCACTAATCCCAAGTGCTGTTAAATATGTGGACCATGGGCTGCGTGTGCCTTTCCTTTATGTTACCCTAGTACTACAGCCATCAATTTTACGATGAATTTTGAAAGTTCATGTTTATCGGTCACTTCGTGCTAGTGTTACTCATGCAGCTGCTTTGCTATGTAGTTCAGTACCCAAATTTTTGTGCCCTGTACTAGAGGTCACAGCTTTTCATCTTCTGTTAGTCGTTTAGTCCATTTTGTGTTAGTCAGGCAGCTGCTTAGCTACTATCAAGGACAAAAATGACCTCTCTGAATAGTGAATACATTGTGTTCATAATCTGACCATGCTAATGTCATTCTCATAACTCATATACTAACATTATTTGGATTCCTGGTTTTGACCTGTGGTGCTAGGCTCAAATTACTGAACTTTAGCTTTTATTGTTTCTCTGTTCTTGACTTATTTGGATGAAGCCATTTCTCTTGAGTACTATCATCTTGAGGAGCTAACTGGAATGGTTATCCTCCCACAGTACGTGATGGTTGTTCTCAAGGGTTCGGCCCCTATGGCATTTGGAGGTACCTAGGAGCCTGCAGCTTACGGTGAGATCGTTTCCATTGGAGGCCTGAACCCTAATGTGAATAAGAAGCTTAGTGCTGGCATTGCTTCTATCCTGGAGTCAAAGTTGTCCGTTCCCAAGTCGCGCTTCTACCTCAAGTTCAATGACTCAAAGGTAGGCAGCGAATATTTCTTATTGAGTGCTCACTCATGGGGTCCTTTTAACCTTCACCAAAGTTCTCATATTAATTTTGTTGCTTGTTAGGCTCATCCTGCACAAGAAAATGCTCAATGTTTGCATGCTTTGCATCAAGAATAGATCATGTAAATAATCACCTGTTGTTTCATTCCATTTTC